CAACAAAGGTCTGTCTAGTCAAGGCTATGGTTTTTCCAGTAGTCATTATGGATGTGAGAGTTGGACTATAAAGAAAGCTGAGCACCTAAGAATTGATGCTTTTGAACTGTAGTTTTGGAGAAGACTCTTGAGAGTCCCTTGGACTGCAAGGAGATCCAACCAGACCATCCTAAAGGAAATCAGTCCTGAATGTTCATTGGAAGGACTGATGTTGAAGGTGAAACTCCAATACTTTGGCTACCTGATACAAAGAACTGACTCATTGGAAAAGACCCTAATGCTGGGAAATACTAAAGGTGGGAGGAGAAGGTGATGACAGAGGATGAGATGGTTGGATGGCATCACCAACTCAATGGACTTGAGTTTGAGTAAACTCTGGGAGTTGGTGATGGACAGGGAGGCCTGGCATGCTCCAGTCCATGGAGTCCCAAAGAGTCAGACATGACTGAATGACTGAACTGAACTGAACAGGCCAGACCCAACTGAATGCACAACAGAAGAAAAGGCTATACAGTAAAATCTGCATTGGCTCAAGAATAAGGTCATCCTAACTATAAGTTCAGAGAAGGCAATGGCACCCCACTCCAGTACTCTTGCTTGGCAAATCTCATGGATGGAGGAGCCTTGTAGGCTGCAGTCCATGGGGTCACTAAGAGTTGAACATGACTGAACGACTTCACTTTCACTTTTCACTTTCATGCATTGAAGAAGGAAATGGCAACCCACTCCAGTGTTCTTGCCTGGAGAATCCCAGGGATGGCGGAGCCTGGTGGGCTGCTGTCTATGGGGTCGCACAGAGTCGGACACAACTGAAGCAACTTAGCAGCAGCAGCAGAAACTATAAGTTACCAATTTTATCTTTTCTGGGCATGAAGATGAGGGAAACACCCTAGGGATGTTAACTCTGAGGCATGGTGACTAGCATCAACCCTCAAGATATTAGAGTCAGCAGCTAGATTCAATAGTAAAAGGCCTGCCACTCTTTAGGGGGGAGTCATTTCAATGACTGCTCTCTTGTGCAAAGCTAGTGAAGAACTTAGGATGGAGTCTCTTTTGACTATCCCCTCTCAGCTGAACCTCTTGAATTCTCATCACACTTGGTGTTATTCTGTGAGTCAACTCTCCTCTCACGAGGTATGGTTGCTTTCTTTACCTAACATTATTGTGGCTCGATGTTAATCTTGACCACGCAACTTTACTTCCAGCAACCCAGGATGATGATGACCATGACTGTCCTATGCTAACTCATTACCTTCTTACAAGATGACTTAACAAGAAACTCCTATTGATACTGCTAACTTAATTTTCTTTAACAGATGGATTTTACTTAGAGGATGTACAGTGACATCACCTAGCTGGATATGCAACAGTACACACGGTGGACATGACTGAAAGCTCTTATCTACCAGGCTCAAAGTTGGCACAACAGGCTGTATTAATTGCTTGATACAGAGCTTGCCAGCTAGCTAAGGATTAAGTAGCGAGTATTTACATTGACAGCTACTCTGCTTTAGGAGTAGCTCTTGATTTTGGAATCCTCTGAAAGAGAAGGGTACTTCTTACTTCCTCAGGCCAACACATAAAGAGTGAGAAGCTAGTGTCAGAATTTTATTAGACTCTATACAATTACCTAAACAACTGGACATTATTAAAATACCTGGACATTTCAAATTTGATTCAATAGAGGCTACAGGGAATTCACTGATATGGCTGCTAAAGGAGGTGCTCTAAGTTCTATTTCTGTCCAGCTTCAAGAATGTCTGCTGCTCAAACCTGACCCCCAATGTAACTGTTAGGAAAACTTCTACAGGCTCACAACTCAGTACTGGGGACTTCCCTGGTGGTCCAGTGGTAACGAATCCACCTGTCAGTGCTGGGGACATGGGTTTGAGCCCTGATCCCGGAAGATCCCACATGCTGGGGGGCAGCTAAGCCTGTGCACGTAACTCCTGAGCCCACACACCAAGAGCCCGCGCTCCACAACCAGAGGAGCCACCACAGTGAGAAGCCTGTGCGCTAGACAGGAGCCTCTGCGAGAGCGACTAGAGAAACTCCGAAGGCAGCAATGAAGACCCAGTGCAGCCAAACATAAAAGCAGAAAGTTGACAATTTCAAATTGAAAAAACTTAGTACCAGAAGATGAAAAATAAATACAGGAAAAGAAAGGTGGATTCTTTGATCCCACCTCACAAGTATGGCTTGGACCAAGTAAGAGACTTGTAG